CTTAAAAGCAGCCGCTGGGCGCCCGAGGCGCTGCCTTTCGGCCTCGGTGCCGCGGGGAAGGCGAGGGCTCCTCCGAGCAGGGTCCCGGGCGGCGTGCTGCCYGCACCGGAGCGGGACGGAGCCCGGAGCCTGCCCCAGGCATCCGCAGCCTCCTTTAATGCGCCTGCCTCCATAGCTCTATTAACTGCAYGCCTAACGATAGGCAGCAAATACTACTGGAAAACATTGCAGTGTGAACCTTAGAGTGCCTCCTAAAAGGCACTGGTGTTCCCTGACCCCAGCCTCGGAGAACGTGGATCCGCGGTGCAGAATTACGCCTTCGTTTCTGATGCGAGCCCCTGAAGTGCATCACGGCTTCCCGAGGCACTTGCTTGTTTGGCTGCCAGATAACCTGTCGCCGCGGCCTCACGTGCCTCAGTTTCGCTCTCTGCAAAGTGGGAAGTGGCTTCTTTGCGTCGAGACCTGCTGTTATAACCTGCTTTGAAGCTGGAAAGGTGCCGCAGTCTGACGTGCACCTTGTGGGGTAAGCAGGAAAACACTGTGTGAGGCTGAGAACTGCACAAGGAGTGAACAACAGGGCTAAGTCAATATTGCCACTGAATTCTCTGTTCGGATGTAATGTCTTACAAGGAGCAGTTCTGATCCTCACTRGAATACTGTCGGAGCTGAAAGGAAGACTAAGCTGCATTTCTATTTTTTCTAACTTTTATCATAATAAGCAAAGTCTTCTGATCCAAGGAAGAGGTGATTAGCCTTTGACATGAGATGAAATCTCCTTGGATGGTTGTGAATGGTAAGGAGGATGCTTCCTCACACTTTTAAAGCTTCTACTTCAAACAACAGTTTGGGAAGGAAGGTTTTGTTTTATAATACAACGCAGCAGGAGTCAAAAAGCAGCATGGTCAGAGAGGCTGGCAGTTACGTGGAACCCTCTGTTCTTGCACTTCTCAGTGTAAGCTGAAAACTTGCTCGCAGAAGCGGAGACCTGGTGTGCTCCRCTCTCGTATCCCTGAAACTGTATGAAGGGGTCACGTTATTACTGAGCTTAACGAGAAAAGGGCCATGGTTGCTGGCAAATAGAAGGATGTTTGGAACTGACCTGCCGAGGAGATCGTTGGAGGGTAATAAGCTGGGGTGTAACTTGCTTTAATTGATGCCTTCATGTGTCCTCCTTTTGGGTTGCTTTGCTTGCCCGCTTCCTGCTCTTGGGCGTGTTGCAGCCCAGACTGAGCGGCTCTGCTGGGAGGTGGGGCACAAGTAACACGGCTTGAAACTAATGATCTGTTTCATGTTCAGAGGACTCCGTGTTGTCCTTCATATCCATTTGGGTTTTCTGAGGTTTCTCTCTTAAGTGGCAGGCCTTAATAAGGCTTCTGATGTCCTCTCACATGTTTGGTCCCTTCAGTTGCTTGTAAATGATGCATCACAGTTGTCTTGCAAAAATGGTGTCTCACTTTAGCTGCTGTGTCCTTGGCCGTCCCTTTGCCCTTGGTGCCTTCGATCGAAACTGCCTCGTTTGCTGGCTCCATAAATGCAAACTTTTATTTTCCGTGCTCCGGAGCAGCGGAAGGCGCCACGTTGCTCAGGGCAGGGCTTTGCCGGGGCCCTGTGTGTCCCTCATTCCTGGCTGGGATGCCCTGTTCCTGGGACGCTTTCGTGTTTGAAAGCGTTTCGGCACTTAGGAATAGTGAGTAAAGCTCAGGGGAAAGTGAGCTGGGCAATTTCCCACTGCTTTCATACACAAGGCAGTGGTTTTTGTTTAGTACAGGGAGCCACCGTGGGAGGAGCAGGGAGCAGAGCACATTGCAACATCTGGAAACTGATAAGGACARATAGAAGCTCTCTAAATAACATCCTTTCCAAAACTTTGTACTGAACACAGATTAAATCGAATTTCCCTGGCGCTGAATCAATATGCTAACAGCATCTGTGTGCCCAAATAGATGAGGCAAGAAGACCTGAGACCCACRTTTGTGGGTAGTGTCTTTGTCCAACATCTTTGCTATTGCTCAGCCGGTATGCTGGGTATTCCTAAAGCTCAGTCCTTAGAAGTGTAAAGGAGGGAAACCTCCCAACCCCTGGCTATAGGGAATTGTCAGATATTTCCCTATCTGCGTGGAGGCTGTYTTGAGAGAAGCAAATCTGCTGGAGATTCGGGATGGGTTGTGGTGTGTGTGCTGCTGTTTGTTTTGCTTTAGCTCTTTGTTTGGTGCCTTGCTTGAAAGGGAGCTCTATTTACCTTGTGCGTGTTGTCCTTTCCTTCCTTCATGAATACTTGCATGTACCTGCCCTAACACCTAAGATCTCGGGGAAGAGGAGAGCACTGTTCCGGCTTGGTGTGATCCAGGGCTTTGGGAGCAGGGCTCTGCTCTGGCTTGGTGCAATCCCCAGGCCTCGCGTGCCGCCACGATCAGGTGTGTGGCCTGTGCCATCGCCAACTCGGCGGCCTCACCGCAGCTTTCTTACCTCTCCCGGCCTTCTCTGGAGATCTGTGTGTCTCCACAATGCCCGTTTGCTCCCAACAGCTTCCCCCGGGCCTGGATGTAGCCGGGCAGGAGCAGGCTGCCCCGGGAGCCCTTGCAGTTAAGCAGTCGGGAGCAGGATTGCCCGGAGCCCGAGGAGGTAATTGTGGCGGTTGCATGATCCCCGCAGCTATGGTAGGCCCGCCGCACTCGTGCTTGGGGACATGTTTTTGGGGAATTTGCATGGAGTTTGTGTTTGCCGCCCCGGGAAGCAGGGGGTAGATGCGATGCAGATACCGCTGCGCCTCGGGCACGGCCCCTACTCGACAGGTCTGAGTGCTCCTGGCTTAGTGTATTAGTAATTATGCTGAGTGCCCTGGCGGGGAGGGGAGCTCGTGATCCTCCCCGCATGGCTGCTGTGCGGCTAAATCCGCCGGATTAACAGCTGGAGAGACAGGCGCGCGGAAGAGTGAGCAGCCCGGCCAGGGTCAAGCCAGGCCTGCTCTGGGTGTAGGGCCCGCACTTCTGTAATWTTCTTCTAATTCCCATCTCTGAGCTAATCTTTTCAGCGATCACCTCTTGCTGTTGATAAAGTCCTGCACAATTTATTGTGGACTCGCATACAAGATCTTGCAACATTCAGTGYGAAGAATTAAGCGTTAAAAGGGGTGTATTTCCTGTCCCTATAGGACCCCACTCTAAAGCTGTGTGGGAGCGTGTTTATACATTCTTCTCTGTCCCAGTTTTGGCTGATAAATGGCATTTCTACCTGGTCGCACGTGGCCTCGCCGCCCCCACGAGCTTCGCAGGGCGCGCTCGCCGTGTGGGGCACGAGGYGGCGCAGCGTGACGTGGGGTGAAGCCGCACGTGGGGCTGCACGGGGGGCCCTGCCTCTGTACCCGGCCAGCCCGCGAGCCGCGCTCCCCTCCGCGAGCGGCTCCCGCTCGCCAGGCTGCCGTGGAAGCCTCCCAGAGGGCGGCCGCGGCTCCCGGGAGCGGCAGCGTGCGGGATGCTCCCATCCCAGCCGGGAAACCCGCTCCGGCCTCATCRGACAGCAGCCACCGTTTTGCTGGGGGGTTTATGGGGGGGGCTGAGTTCTCCTTCTGCGCTTTTTGTCACCCTTGGAATACTTCCTGAAGGAATGTAAGAGCGATCAGAAGATCTTGTCTTGGACAGTTGCAAAAGTAGAGGCCAGAAGCTCTAAATGGCCATRGTGGAAAATCTGGTGCATGGCAGGGTGCCGGCCAGATGGCCGGCTTATACCACCCAAAGCAAATACATGTGCTCCGTGTAACAGGACGTTGCGAGTGGAGAGTATGTTGGGAAAAGAATTGCTAAAAGAAACGAAGGCAGCTGCTTTTGCAGGGGCAGAGGGAGCCGTGGCGTTCGGAAGAYGCGTGGCAGAGCCCTGAAGGCGGCCGCGGGGCCGCGGGGCTGCTGGCGGCCTGCAGCCCGCAGGGAGGTTGCGCTCGCACCACGGGCGGTTCGGCCTCCCGCCTTCAGCCCCGCACCGCAGGGATGGCACTGACCTCCGTGGCACTGCCCTCAAACTAGAGGCCTGTAGGTATGTCCCTTGCCGTGTCTGACATAGAGACTTTTCTTAAAAAAATAAAAAATAAAAATAAAAATAAAAATAAAAAAAACCCTCTAACACGGTATTTGAGCTTTTTCCTACAAAAATAGGTTTTCCAGGTGTACAGAAAAGACCAAATTCCTTAATGTTTTACCTCAACTTCTCTTGCTTGGAGTGCTGGCTTGCTGGAGCTGTTAGAGCTGGCTTTTACAGTGCAGAGGACTGTCCAATGTGTGGTCAGTTGAAACTGAAGTTCAGAGTAGGTCTTGGAAGAAAATAAATGCTAGTGKTTAGCTATATCCTAAACTTTGGCATTTTGATGTATGCTCCTTTTGYAGCTGTGCTGGGGGAGCTAGCTGCAAGATCAGCATCTCGTGGTGCAACATGTTTAGGTGGAATAGTCCAAGCTCAAGGATTCTTCATTCTTCTAGAGCTGGGAAGAGGAAGCCAAGGGGCACTTGGTTGATTTTTCTGCAAATTGAGTTTTAGGGGACCTGGTAATATTTTGGAATCTGGAAATGTTTCAGAGCAAAGTTAGTTAACTGATGTTTCAATGGAAAGTGTTACAGATATGTAAGTTATACATCTCCTCTGTCTCTTCCTATAGCTTTCCACAGATGTAATTTGGCGTTGTTTTTGCCAGGAAGAATATTTTTGAATTGCAGATGACTTTCTCCCCCTGTACCCAACGAGCACAGTTCGTAGGGTAGCGCGGTGGGGAGTTGTGATGTGTCACCCTGAGAGAGCTGTAAGGAGCAGCAGCTCCTGGTTAAAAACATTCCCCTTGCCTCCCGAAGCAGCATAATTTAGTGAGCAGGAAATTGGTTCCGTTTCACTTGCCTGTCCATTAAAGGGAGGCCTGGCTTTGCTCATGGCTCGGGCACACCATGGTTGGCAAGGAGGGCACTGCCCATAACGTGTCCCTTYGCGAGAGTGACCGTGCGCTGTTGTGTTTTGCAGATGTTTCTCACCGTGTACCTGAGCAACAACGAGCAGCACTTCACCGAAGTGCCCGTCACGCCCGACACGACCTGCAGGGATGTGGTGGAGCTGTGCAAAGAGCCCGGCGAGAGCGAGTGCCACCTGGCCGAGGTGTGGGGCGGCTCAGGTAGGCGCGCGCCGCCCCACCGCCTGCTGCTGTAACCCGGGCTCCCCCGSTCCCGGCCGGCCCGGTCTGGTAATGCCTGGGTCGGAATCACGCTGCGCTTGCCTTGCAGACGGGCACGCACGAGCTCACGCTGGATAAAAGCCCAAGGCGTGAAGCATGGGGYCTGGGGGCTCCTGTGCACGTGCAGCCCTTCAGCTTGCTCGCGTGAGCCTCTGGAGACAAGAGCTGTTGCTACTGTCCCCACCTCTCCCTGCAGTGGAGAGGATCCCCAACGGTGGCTTTCCTTAAGTGGTTGTGTCTAGGTAACCCTGTGACGCAGGCAGAATCTTCTCCTAAATCCCAGCACCATTTTCAACTGCAATAGCAATGGGAAGCTCTGCATGGTGCTTYTCTCTCTTGGGAAGGTGTTAATCTGGCCAGACTTGAGGAGAGGGAGCAGCAGAAGCTCTCCGAGAGGAAGTGATTTAAAGGAGATCAGGGAGGAGTGAGGCAAGGTCGGCGACAGCAAGAGCTGTGTCTGTCTCAAGAGCTTGCAGAAGTATGTCTCGCATCTGATCCATGTCTGATTTATGTGGTGAGCTGTGGCCTCGTCCCCTGCAGTGTCCTTGCTCGCTTGGGCCCAGGGTGCAGATCTGCCCAGCATCTCCATACGGGTGTCGAAAAGCCAAATTGTGACCAACTTTTCCTCACTTGAATGAGAAGGGGCTCCTGACTGTTTTCTGTCTCCACGGTGTTCCTTACATACTGCTAGCTGTCCAGGGGTGTAACAGAGCTTAATCACTGAGAGGGCCTCAAGCTATAAAGAAAGAA